GCTTCAAAAATACAAAAAATTTCAGAAGACCCAAAGCATGGACTTGCTTTATTTTCATGCTTGGCACAAAACTAAATAAACTGAAAGTTGGGATCTGAATTCCAGACCCAGCTCTCCTGTGCCTTTCTTCAATTAAAAAATACTGGTTGCAGGGTGCCTGGGTGGCTCAGTTCGTTGGGCGGCTAACTTTGGCTCAGGTCATGATCTGACGGTCCGTGAGTCCGTGGGTTTGAGCCCTGCATCGGGCTCTGTGCTGACAGCTGAGAGCCTGGAACCTGCTTTGAGTCCTGTGTCTCCGTCTCTCTCTGCACCTCCCCCACTCGCTCGCGCTCTCTCTCTCTCTCTCTCTGTCTCTCGCTCTCAAAAATAAACATTAAAAAACTAAAAAAATACTGTTTTCAGTTCTAAAATGACCCATTAAAAGCAAAATTCTAATAAACTTCGCTGCAAGCCTTGGTTACATGACTCGAAAAACTCCTATTAATCTAAAATGCTTCCAAAAGAGTTACTTAATGATCTAGATTTCTCAATGAAAGCTGCATTAGGTTTTGTGGACAAAAGTGTTTGGTGATATTTCAACTTTTTTGGGACACTATTAAACTTGTCCCTTATTTCTGAACCAAAAGAAGTAACTTTAATTATGACACACCATATCCTGCATCCTCTTTAACGGCTGAATAAAAAAGTGCGTGTTGATGGAACACCATGGCAACCAAGCCCTGTAATTCTATCTCCAGAGGTAACTGAAGGGCAGTCAGAGCCATGGGTATTTGAAGACTTCACAGACCTCGCTTTTAGCACCCTTTGCATAAGGGAGAACAAAAGCAGCCACTATTCTTAGGAAAGTAAAAGCAATGATGACAATTAAGTCACCACATTAAGCATCCAAAGAAAATACTGACTCATATTCAATAAAATGCAAATTAATTAAAACATGCTTCAATCATTATAGAATTTCAAATCTACTACTTAGAGGTTCATAAAAAGTAATAGCTAAGATATTTGTGAACATTGAGAAAATGCTATATGATTCTTTAAAAAATGTAATTTAAGGAGCTAAAACATCTAATTGGCAAAAGGGAAGATAGAGATTTGCCATAATTTCCTATGTCACATGCTTAGAGTAACATTTAAGGAATTATCAAAATAGAGTAAAAGGCTTTCACCATGTATTTGATTAAAAAGTCAGGGAACTGGAAGTTTACTGTCCCACTCTTCCTGAAGCCTGGGCCATGTGGACCTGCCCACTAGAGACAGACAGGGAAAACTGGCCTTCACCGCATGGAAAATCAGGCAAGATCATGTGCACACTTGCTGTTTCCTTTTTCACTTCAAAGAGAGTTTTCTAACATTTAAACTGATCAAAACTGAAAACATAAAAAGCTGGACAGAGGGAGAGGGAAGGAAAGAAGAAAGAAAGCTCTACGCAATCCGCACTTTCAGGAAGAATGAAGACACATTCTGGCAGCATGTGGAACATCTTTTAACAGTCCTGTAACTTCTGCCCTCATAGACCATGCTGTTCCAGAGAAAACACAATGTGAAAAGCGCTCTTTTGTCTTATTCTCCGTGAGTACTCCCATCTGTGAAGAGAAACTACATGCTCTGAGAATGACTCTTTGGCTGCCTGTGCACTTCCCCATCATGGCTGTCCAATCAAGCCATCAGAATAAAGATCAGGCTCAACATTATATTCTGCCCTGAAGGTTTCTGAAATCAAGATGCATTCTTTTTACTAAGAAGATCATACTTATCAAAATAGCCAGATAATTGCCACAAGATAATTATGATCTGTAATTATTATTGTTGGTGATTGTCAATGATGCATAGGGAAGAATACAGCTTGATTTTCAAAGCCTAACCCTGAAGAAGCATGACAATCAAAAACTTGTTTTGACTAGTTAAAATGAACCAACGTGACACAGAAGTCACAAAAGAAAAATCTCACAGAGGGAAAAATATATCCAATTGGCCTGACTCAGCTTTTCTCAAATATAAGTTACAAGTTCAAACTGTAGGAGGATCTTTCAAGAATCAAAAGGCTAGGCCAAAACTCATGGCTGAAGATAGGTTCTGGAAAGGAGTGGGACCCCTAGGCCATTCAAGTCTCTAAGGGAGAAGGATGAAGTCTGGACTCTGCTGTACCTTTAGGTACGTGTGGCAGAATCTTGTGGAATCTCATTGAATGCTATCTTGATATTACATGACATACAGATGGACAATAGAGACTGGACAAAGGTCATATTTGCAGTGAATAATTAAAAGTACCCACCTCTAGTTCTATAGATTTCTGGTTCAAGTTGTTCAATTCCAAGGCAGCAGAGAGGCTCATACTCTATTTGAAAGCTCCTGTGCTACTTCAGCACTAGGCCAATATGATTTGATGCATTTTGACTGTGGCATGGATAAAGTCAATGTAGTAAGCTTTTAATACAGCCAAATATTTCAAACTAACTTTGGTAACATTTAATCTGTTTTACCTTAGGCCCTATAGAGACCCAATTTTGAAAATCTCAAATAAATGAAGATTCCCATTTCAAAAGATGAACTGTAGCCAACAGAAGAAATGTATCTATATTACCATGAAAAAAAGTATTTTTCAGAAATGTGTATCTCACAAATACATTTTACAAAAATGAGATTTCAAAAATATCAGGCAAGATGCACTTGCTTTTTCTGCCTCATTTGTTAAAATCACTTCCTGTCCATTTCATCATCATCTCCATATTCTACCATACAGTGGCCTTGTTTATAATGCCTGAATGGATTAAGAAATCCTGAGGCTTGGCCTGAACCCAGTGGAAAGAAGACAGGATAAAGCTAGATGTGTCTAATACTTGCTTCTTTCCTCCCAAGACACCTTCAGCCCAAACTATTAAGATCTTTCAAATTCCTGCAATTACCTTCTAAGATCACTGAAGTAGGACAGCCTATAGCTCCATTTCATCCTGGAGCATAAAGACTACAGTGGGGTCTTTTATTTGTAAATAAATGGGGGTATATTCTGTAACAAAAAAATAAATCAAAGATTACATTTGAAGGCATAATTTTATTACGTTCACTACTGGGAGAAAGGTAATCTCAATATATGCATTCTTTCTCTACTTCATTGAAATCTAAACAGTACACTGTTGTATGCAAAAGGTTGTTTCAGTAAAAGATATTTTTGGTACTTTAAAAGGCTGGTTTTGCTATTATTCTTGAAAAAACTAAGTCTCTTGCCTGACCTATTTTTCATGTCCTTTGTTAATTTGCTGAGCAAACCCTTTTCATCCACTTTATATATAAAGTATGTAAGTTAAATCTCAGTCATAGCTCCCTCTTTATCCTGTCAACATATCTTAAAGACAGATATGCATATCAGACTTGGGGTGCTGCTCTGCCTCACTGCTCACAGAAAGTAGGGGCAAATTAATCCAAAGTACAAAGTTGACTGTAAATGAAATGGAGTTTACTATGTATAACAAACTGTACACATTTACTGTGTATGCACACACACACACACACACACACGTGTGTATATATATATATATATATATATATATCAGTAATTTATTTAACTTGATGCACATTACTATATTCTGTTACCGTGCTATTAATATTCCAAACATTTACAAGTATCCCCTTTTAAGCTATTTGTAGCTTCCCTTAAAGACTAGGTTAGCAATATGGTAGCAACAGCATTTGATAGGATACAAATATTCCTGATGATAAATAATGACAAAAAAACTCATATTTCATATAATATTTTACTAAACAATTTCAAAGTACTCATCAGTATCTCACTTTCTATAATTGGATAAACACAATAGTGAAACTGGAGGGCAACAAAATTCAAATGGATTGAACAAAAAGTGGATAGTCAGGAAAAGCAAATCTTAGTCTCAGGATTATTGACTTCTAAGAACCCCAAATTTACCCCTATTGGAAAATATGCCCTGTGCAATGTGAAAAATAAAAGTAATTTGTTTTAGAAAAGTTTCATATAAGATTTTAAAACACAGGCATAGTCTCAAGTGGTTAAAAAAAATAAGAGATTTGTTAATAGCATTTAATATCTTCAAAATATGATTAATTAGCAAGCTAAAACATGTAAACTGTGTTTAGATTTGAATATGTGCTGTCAATCTGAAATCATGGGTTCCATTGTGTATCAGGAGACCAAACTGTTCTGCAAATAAGTGTGTGTGGTAGAGCAAAGTGGCCCCCTCGCTGCTCCACCCTGCCTCCCCCACAAAAAAGGAAAGATTCTAAACACAGCATATTAACTTACAAAATGTTCCAATACAATGATTAGATGTATCATATGTAAGCCTTTTTTCCTTTAACTTATTCTCCAAATTTGGCCAAACTAAATATTTAATACATAAATCCTGCCCCATAGCAGTGATCCCCACAGGATTGTTTCTTGTAATCCCTTTGACATTCTCTTGCCTTATCATATCACTCAAAACAATGATGGTCTAGAAAGAGGTTCTGAATATCAACTCAAGGGTTAGAGTTTAAGTAAAAGCAGAGCAAAAGGAAACAGACACACACATCCTCAAATGCACTCAATCAGGGCAACTCTCCTGACAATGGCTGAATTTCATTCCAAACAGATTAATTTAATGATAGCTTTGCTATTAAAACAATTTTCAAGTAAAATGTTCAAGCATATTTCAATATAAGGAAAAAAGGATATTTCACTAAAAGGGAAAAAGCAGCTACAATTTAAAAATTTACTCCACAATGAAATGAACATGAACTCTGAAACAAAGACACGGAGAGAGTGTTGGCCTGTGGAGACAAAGGCCTGCCACGTGGCAGGGGGAGTGACTCAGCTCTGGGACAACCTAATGGCACTTTCCTTCCTCCCACACCTGTATCTGCTTGAGAACCACAAACTTGAGTCATGGCTTAAGAATATTTGATTTCAACAATAAACTTAAGGTAGTATTATTTTCACTTTTCCTCTGAAAGATAAGTTGAGAGAGAACACAAATGACTCACAGTAGAGATTTATGCTCTAGGTGTGTATATGGCCATATATATTTGTTTTAAAAAATTTGATTATGACAAGCTTCAGGTAAAAATCATTTTCAAAGGTTCAATTTTTCATTTACATATAACCAATACATCTTATTTACACATGTATGACTCCATTTTTATTCAACTTCCTTCATATTAAGTGTATATTTTAACTGGTGTGTAACTGTTATATACTGTGTTTACAGAAACACTAAACATCCTCTTATTCACTAGCAGTTTTGATAATAGTTTTGTCCCACATTGAGAAATGAATATAGTTAAAAGCTCAATGTATAACATAAAGATGAAAACCCAGTGTTAACATCCTGTCTAGGGCCACATCAGGTATTCAAGGAGTCAACTGCCCCAATTGCATATATTATAGTTGCAACAAAACACAAAGCAAATATGATTCTGAAGACCCTGAAAAAGAGATCTGACTTATTAGACATTAACCACTGCTTAATGGTATTGATGTTCATTCTAACCTGGGTTCATTTTTTTTTTCCCAAAAGAACACTGATTTTTTTAGTAATATTTAACCTTAAAAAGGTATCTTAGGTCTTTAACCCTCAGAGAACTGGTATATTTTGGCAGCTAATCAAAAAAATAATCAGGAACATGTATCTTTGCACAGTCTCCAAAGGGTTAAAGTGCAGAAATTGTCTGTCACTTGTTACATAAGGCACCCTATTCCACTTTTTTCTTAAAAGAAACTTTTTCTTTGGTTTCCTGTAATTTTTCAGTGAGTCTATCCTTTGTTTCTTCCATTTTCTCTGTGAGAAGCTCCTTGGTCTCTTCCATCCTGTCCTGCAGATACTCCTTAACAGGAGGTGGTGTTGACATGTAGCCCCGACTACGCAAATACTTCACAGTAAAGGAGGTTCCTCCCAAAGTCACAGTATATCGGGCAGGTGTTGCGATCTGAGGAGAAAATACAGGCAGATCAACAGCCAATCATGATTATCGTCTTTAGCAAAAACAATTTGAAATTAAAATTCTTAGTAATAGCCAAACAGCATAAATTACTTTATTGCTTGATCAGGCCAACATAGTTACAGCCCACATGGTTTACCCTCCTAACAAGGGATGCTTCTTCTGTAAATGCATTTCACAAATATCTGTCACTTAGGCACTGACCCAAAGATTACAGAATATTTTTTTTAATGTTTATTTTTTTAATTTTTGATAGACAGAGTATGAGCAGGTAAGGGGCAGAGAGAGAGAGGGAAACACAGAATCTGAAGCAGGCTCCAGGCTCTGAGCTTTCAGCACAGAGCCTGACACAAGGCTCAAGCCCACGAACCACAAGATCATGACCTGAGCCAAAGTCAGACACTTAACCAACTGAGCCACCCAGGCGCCCCAAGGATTACAGAGTATTTGCAATAGAAGCACTGGGGCCTATAACCATGTGCTAGTGAACGTGGGGACATGGTCATTGGGAAATGAGAAAGATGGCTCAGGACCACTACGAACAACAAACATGCAAATGCTTCTGTTCCTTAAAAACCCTGCCAATCTACAGACTGTGCATCTAGAACTAAACCAGAACCAAACTACTTCAAATGGACGAGAGGCAAACATGAGCCAAATGTTTATTCTTTACTGAATTTAGTTTAGTTTCACTTCCAAATCCCTTTGACTTTTCCAGGCCTTATGCTACTTTCTCATTACAACCCACCCTGGGTCTGGAATCCCAACTGGGAACTTCCAGGAAGCCAAAAAAAGTAGTTGGTACATATGTTGCAGACACACACAGGTTTAACTCTGACCAGAGATTTAAGGACTAAAGCTAAAAAGCAGACAAACTGGTCAAAGAGCAACACAAAAGTGGAGACAGTCTATATCACATTCTGAGGCTTCCGTGTCAAAATTCAGTACCAAAACTCTTTGAAGGAGCCACCTCTGTTCTCTACCTCCAACCTCCCTCTTCATTCTCTCTTGAACTTACTCTAACCGAGCGTTCACCCTCCACCTCTCATCATAGTCACTATAGAGGCCTGTGAACCATTAGAGCCAATGGAGATAGCCCCCTGCCCCCATCTACACCTTGGAGCATGCCCTCAACTGGCTGCCATGCCCTCACTTCCCTGGTTTCCTTCAGCTTCAGAGGCTGCCACTTTCCAGTCCTACCTGTCCATTCCTCCTCCTGTTGCCTACCTCTGAGCACTATGGGGCAGCATTCAGTCCCTGCACTCCTTTTCTCTGCCTTGCTCACTCCCTTGGCAGTCTTTTCCAGTTTCATGTCTGTAGTGCCATCTATACATTAATGATTCTTAGATTTCCAGACCAAGCCTTTTCCCTAAATTCCAGTATATACAACCTCCTACTCATTTCTGCCTGCACGTCTAATAGGATCTCAAAATATCATTTATTCAAAACTGATCTCATGGTGTTCAATGGTCCCACCCCAAACCTGCTCCTCTTAAAGCTGTCTGCATCTCAGGAAATGGCAACTCTATTCTTACGTTGCTCAGGCCAAACATCTGTAAGACAGCTTCGACTCCTTTCTCTTGCATAATTTACATTCAACCATTAAAAAATTCCATCAGTTCCACCTTCAAAACATATCTAGAATCCACCTACTACTTAGTGCCTCTTCTGCTACCACCTGGGTCCTAGCCTCTATCAGCTCTTGCACACACCACTGCAATAAACCCTCCTTCGCTAGGTCTCTGGGCTTCTGCACTTGCCCTGCTATATATACAGACAATACAGCAGCCAAAATGATTTTGTTAAAACACAAGTCAGATGCTCAAAATTGCCCAGTGACTTCCCATCTCCTCTGAGTAAAAGCCAGAGTGGCCTGTAAGGCCTCTGTTGCCTCTCTACTGTTCACTCATCCCAGCCACACTGGCATCCTCCCTGTTCCCTCAAATACGCCAGGTATCCTGCAGCCTCAGGACTTTGCACTTGGCTTTCTCCTCCTTGAATGCTCTTCTCCCATACAACTGCCTGATTAACTCCCTCACCTTCTGGCAACCATCCCTCTGAAAAAAACAAAAACAAAACCAAAAACCAGAAACAAACCCCGAACACAAACACATCCTCTCTTGCTGGTTTGTTCTCTCTTCTGAGCATTTACCATCATCTAAACACTGTGTGTGTGTGTGTGTGTGTGTGTACTTTACTTTCTTTGCTTAACCGCCACCCACTATTAGAATGTAAGTTCCATGAGGGCATGTACTTTGTGCCATTTTATCGAATTAGTTATTCCCAGTACCTAGAATGGCACTTGGCACACAGTAGGGGCTCAACAAATTTTTGCCAATTCAAACAAAGGTGCACTTTCAGGACAGTGCTAGCGGGCTGAGGAGTGTGTCACAGTCAGTACCAGAAGGTCACACACAGGTTGTTTTTCTCCTCTTTGCCACACCTCTTTTTGAAAGGGGCTTTGCCTTATTGAAGCAATAAATCTCAGTCTTTGTTACTCCACCTGAGAAACTGTGGGTTACAGAAAATACCCAGGAGAATCCCCTGCACGTTTCCCACCTCAGAGGGACAGTGAGAGGGAAGAAACACTGCTGATACTAACCTAACTACATGTACAAGTTCATGTTTCAAATCCCAACCTACAAACACGTACTGAGCACTAATGTGCCAACAAAGCACAATACCAGGCATAGCGAAAACAAAGAGAAAGAAGAAATGACTCTGAATTCCCATTCTAGGCTCTTAAAATCAAATAGAGAAACCAAACATTAAAAAAACAAAAACAAAAAAACCCTAACACCAGACCAGGATATGAACACACATAATATGGGAGCACAGGATAAGGAGCTATTATAATTAAGGAAATAATAATCATACCCATTATAACTATAAACTTGATAATTTATGAATTTAATAAGTTTCAATGTTGAAAAACTCAGCAATTAAATGTTAGACCTCTGGTCAAAATTACAATAAAAAAGGAAATCTCCCAAGATTTCAGAGGATTTTAATGAAGATGACAGAACAAAACAATGATACTTATACTACTATAAAACCATAATTCTAAGCATTTTTATACAACAGAATTAAAGTAACATCTAGTTTCCAAATGTTTTCTACTTGTTTTCTTTCTTAGAATGAAGACATATAGAACTTCTTAACTGTCAACTGAGAAAAATTAGATTAATATGGCTAATTTCCACAATTCACAATGAATCTCCTTTTCTAAAATAAAGACCAATAGATATAGAAACTCTATTTATAAAGATGTCATTGTCTCAAATCCAGAGAACAGGTATTAAAAACTATAAACTTCTAAAATGAAATATATGTAATGCTACTAAGTCTAGGTTTATCCCATAAAACAATTTGAACTAAACTTTATTATTTTACTTATTAAGAAGAACTATTATAAACTGTAAAAATAAATGCTAAATATCACGAAAAATCAGGTGGCATGTGGATCTCTGAATAAGGAAAATTAATATACTGTATGTGGGAGAAATGTCAAAAAGATGACTTCTGGAAATTTGTTTCACATTTGTGTGATCACAACAGGTTAGGAATGATCTACCTATTTTCAAGGCACTTCTTCCTAAACCATCATTTTATTTATACTTAAAATTTTTATTTTTAATTAAAAAAATTTTTTTTAATCTTTATTTATTTTTGAGAGAGACAGACAGCATGTGAGCAGGAGAAGAGCAGAGAGAGAGGTAGACACAGAATCTGAAGCAGGCTCCAGACTCTGAGCTGTCAGCACAGAGCCCGACGCAGGGCTTGAACTCACGAACTGTGAGATCATGACCTGAGCTGGTCAGACACTCAACTGACTGAGCCACCCAGGCGCCCACACTTAAAATTTTGAAACTTAAAAAACATTTTAAACTGTAGCCATTAGACATACATGAAATTTGGTATTTTAAGTTACAAAAGAACTAATATGGAGTTTTATGAGGAACTGAGCAGGTCATTAGTTAAGTGTGAAGAGCAACTGATTTACAACTGTACTTACCTTAAACAAGGCATATGCTGTTAGGGCATTTCCACTCTGGGAATTTTTCAGAATGTTTACTACACTGTCAGGTAACCCAATGAGTTCTAGAAAAGGAACGACATTCACTCCTCTAAGAAAGAAACAAAGTAATTTAGATATATGTACACACAAACTTAAAGGGATAAATATTTTCAAAAAATTTTCTGAAAACACCAAAACCAAATTTTGTTTAAAAGTCACTTCTGCATTATCAAGCACTGTGATTTCACTCTATAAGAACACGTACAGAACATCGGTGTTGTACTGTATCTGTTTGCGGCTTCTGCTTTGCTTCTGCACATGGTCATCCCTAATTACCACATTAAAAAAAAAAAAAAATAGAAGGATCTAGCTGAGTTAAATTAATTGCTTTATGTGATCTAAAAGGAAATAAAGGACCAGAATTATTTACCTGGTCTTAGTTTCCTCAATCAAATACCACTTTCTCAGAAAGCTCCAATTCAAACTTCAAGACCTAAGCTTTTCACCTCTAAAATTTTATGTCAGGTTATACTATTATTGTAAAAGCAATACTACAGTATCACTTGTGTTATTATGCAAAGAAGAAATAATTCTATGGGTATTCTAAAAGGATGCCTCTATTCTATTAGCAGGTTTAAAAGGCAGGTGAAGAAGCAATTACCATAAATTGCAACACATTTTTGGAGGGAGGGACAGCAGGCAAAGTCTCTAATATGAACTGTTAAGCTCTAATTTATTTTTAGTTTCCCTGATTATCAACATTTCGCATACTGGTGTGTGCTCTTTCACACTCTTGCTCTATCACTGTGTGTTGTTTTACAGACATTGTGACCCTTGACTCCTAAATCAGAACAAGGTCCTTGTTCTGTGCTTTCCTACATGCACATAATAATCACATTCAGGAAATGTAACATATGACATGAGTATATAATGATACACAATATATTATTTAATATTAAAATTTCCTGAATTGTCCCAGCATGTCCTTTAAATCACTATCTTGTCATTTCTCTCTGGTCTCCTTTTCTCTAGAAGTACTCCCCAGAACTTTTTGTTGAAGACAGCAGGATAGTTTTTGACACTGAGATTTTTGAAGCATCCAGGCCTGTTGCATGGGAGAATATCCCTCAATTTGGATTTGTCTGATTTTTTCCTCTTGATCAGGTTCAGGTTAAACATTTTTCAACAGGAAAACTGCACAGTTAATTCTGTCTGTCTCAGTGCATCATAACAGAAGCCACATGATGTCACTTTGTCCCATCGCTGGTATTGTGACTCTTGGTTAAGGTAGGCTCCACAGTGTGTTCCACTGTATAGATATCCTTTTTTTTTGTAATTAAGAAAGGGAATTGCCTAGATCCATTATTATCATGGATAGCTGTATCCTGTATAATATATAATAGCTAGCAAAATCCTAATTTATTCTTAATATTAAAAAAATAATTTGGGGGCACCTGGATGGCTCAGTCGATTAAGTGTCCAACTTCAGCTCAGGTCATGATCTCATGGTTTGTGGGTTTGAGCCCTGCATTGGGCTCTGTGCTGACAGCTCAGAGCCTGGAGCCTGCTTTGGATTCTGTGTCTTCCTCTCTCTCTCTCTCTGCTCCTCCCCTGCTCGCATTCTGTCTCTCTGGCTCTCAAAAATGAATAAACGTTAAAAAAAATTTTTTTTAAATAATAATAATTTGGGGCATCTGGGTGGTTCAGTTGGTTAAGCATCCAACTTTGGCTCAGGTCATGATCTCGAAGTTCCTGAGTTTGAGGCCCACATCAGGCTGTCTGCTGTCCGCACAGAGCCCGCTTCAGATCTTCTGTCTCCCACTTTCTCTGCCCCTTTGTTTGCACTCTCTCTCAAAAATAAATATTTAAAAAGATTAATTAATTGGGGGAAAGTTGTTATCCCTCTATGACTTCACTATAATACTACAAAATCAGGGACTACTCTCAAGAACATATGGCTGACCATCAAGGAAAATTACCTATCGTCTATAAGAGGAAAGCAGATAACTGAAGGAATCTTTAAAAAGTTTTATGAAGTCGACTCTAAGTCCAATCTGGTTTCTTCTTTCTCCACCATCAGTTCCTTTTCAAATCTCTTTCTTAGATAATGACAGAATCCCACTTAAAGCAAGACTTAGTACTACAAGGACTTAGCTATTCTGTGGATTGAATCAAGTCACAATGCACCAGAATATGCTAATTATATATTCTAGAACCAATACAATTATAAAATTATTTAATTAATCATTTCCTAGCCCAGTATGTACAATCTCCCTATTTAATAGCAACCATGAAGGGGGAAAAAAGACAAAGATTTGGCCAAAAATCAGACAAAATTGAGTGATGAAAAAAAAAAAACCTATCATAAAGATCAAACAATAATTACCTCAGACACCTTGCACAAGTATCTTTTATAAAATTAAGAAGTAAATACTTGGTTCTATTTAATTCTAAAATATTGATTTGATGATTTCATTATTTTAAGAATAAAAATAACTCTCATTTTCTTTGGAACTGCTGTATATGAAATACTAATGAGGGACTGATTTAAATAGTAATATCTACTTGTCACTTTTTACTTGGAAGTTTCCATGGTCTGACAGAAATCTGTGCTTCACAAACTGCCAGCTTTATGGATGTTTCAATTGATGAAGAAATACGCAAGGGCATAAACACATTCACAGTACATATAAAATGCAGTAAAAATTAGGCAGGATTTTGCCTCAGAATGGATCTGTAACTTTAGAGACTTAAGGCCTAAAACACGAGGCACCTCACTATGATGCCCTATGGACAAAACCATCCTCACAAAGCTACATTTGATCAGAGAGCATTTCTGGTTGGAAGATGTAAGATCTCTGCAAGGTTTGCCAGATAGAACAGACAACAAAGCTTAAAGTAAAATCTATTAACATATACAATTTAGATCTCCCTGAAATAAAATGTTTCAGAAGTCTAAGATCTTTATCACTGAGTTAACTAAATACAGAATGGCATTTCGTTCTCTGATGTCTAGAAAAGCGGTAATAATTCTAGTTGTCAGAGTGACTAAAACAAACACTGGTCAGTAACACAGTGTGATGTCAAATGCCCATCTTCCAAGTTACAAACTATTTTTTCCCTTTCTTTTACTAGTTAAGTAGGTAATAAGCAAATAACAGAGAATTTGCCCAGCTACAACAAAAAAAATAAAGCCAATCTCGTCAGTTGAATTGAAAACCTATATTTAATACAATCAACTTCAATCTAGTAATAAAACCACATCGCAGTGAAAGATACACTGCCATTAGAACATATCCTCAATCCTTATTTTGTAAGTATTACCTGTGATAAGATCGTTACTTAGAAGAAATCAACTTTCTGAAGGCATAGGATTTAATAAAAACATTAGGAACTGTTCTGGGAAGCAACACATCCTACAAAATTGAAATTAACTGTGTGATGGTAGAACAGAACTGGACCAGTGCAGTGGTGGTGGGTCTGGCAACCACAGTCCCATGCTGACAAACAGCCAAAAGGCAAATTGTGATGGATAAAGGGACATGACTTTAAAGTGGATATTCTTACCACCACGTTTATATACAAACCATTCTGCAGAAAAAGAGGGAGAAGATAATGCACACACAGGGAACAACAGAATGTCACCACAACCACCTGAGTGCCAGACAACATTGAAAAAGTCTTAAGCATAATTATTCACATCACTAGGTTACTTGGGGTCTGCTTTTTCAGTTATAGAACTCTTTTACTTAAGAAGGTAAGGAAAAGGAAAAGGAACAAAAGTGCTCCTTTTAACAGTCCAAATGAGACCTCATATTCAATTAATTAAAAACATAAATTGCTCCCTCCAAGGCCTCCTGGCCAAATGCTTATAAAGGGCAACCTAAGGTGGACAGAACTGTCACTCATATCATTTTCCAGAGCACTGCATCAGGAAACCCTCAATAGTTCAAAAAAGAACATTTGATATGTACACATTAATTAAATACAGCTAAATCCTATAATAATTTTTATTCAAAATGGTACATGATTTAAACCAAGGGCAGTTTTGAAGACTTCCATAAATATTACACACGTTCATAAAAATGTCATTAATGAGAAAGATAATTCCATTAAGTATACATATAAGCATCTTCTATAAAGGATAATAATACATGATGAAGAAGGATATAATTGAATATTAGGAAGATAATGGAGAGAAAGATGTAAAGAGAATCAGAACAGCATCAACTACACAAGGTAAAAAACCCTTTTAGAACTTTTGTAAAGAAACAACTCTAATCCTGTTTTCCAAAAGTAGTCTTCAGTATCTTTTAGTTTGTAAAAAATAACTTTGTCCCCAAAATGACATATTTTATTAATACCTTAATATCAAACATTAAATAAAACCAAATATTGAATATCAGTGGACTTTTAGAAAGAATAAAATAATTCTAGAGCCATAGGAGATTTTACTAAAATGTCAAAGTAGTGTACAACATCGGGCCATTTCATTGCCCTCAGGATGGTGAGCTCCTTCAGCTCTTATAGCCCAGGCCACTACAAGAAAAGCCCACACAGTACGTTCAAAGAACAGGCACACACGCATCAAAATGCTTTGGTTACTAGTGGCAAAAACAAACTGGAAATCATTGAGATCTGTTTCAATGTGTGCTCCTGCTCCTAAAACACCATAAATAACTTACCTTAAAAGAAAGGAAGAATATTTATATTTAACAAGAAAAGCACATTTAGAAATTTTGTGTTTTACAATACCTACAGGCTAGGCCCACCAAATTAACTATTTTTAAAAGTTTATTTTAGTGGTGGTAAGAACACCTAACACAAGATCTACACTCTTAGTTTTAAGTATACAACAAATTAACTTCTGATTAAAACAAAAGACTTACCTTGACATTTATCAGATGTGGGTAACACTAAAACATAAGTCTGCAATTTGTTTATTTTTGTATCTGCAACAGGTATTAGCCAGGTTTTGGCAAAAATATCATATTAACTTCCCACCAAAATCATACATAAGGCAAAATAATACGTAATTTTTTATATTCATGAAAACTTCAAGAAATACAGAAGTATAGAACTCATGGTGCTGCCAAATTTCTGAACTCTCTTACATTGACAGATGAGCATAAGAGCACGGGCTCTGAAATAAGCCACCAAAATATTTTGGGAAAAGCTAAGTTATTTTGACTTACTATTGTTTAATTTCATTAATAAAATGGGAATAATTACACTACCTGCTTCATATAGTTATGAGAATTAAATGAAATGATACCGTTTAAAATGTTAGTATAATGCCTGTTATACACACAAAGCAAATTTAGCTAAGAAAATATCAAAAACAGCTATGACAAACAGTCATCAGTTAAAGACATTAAAGCATTAAAACTATTTAAGGCTTTCATTAGTACAATTAAGAAGATTAACATTCTGATAAAACAGGGAAAGGTGCTCAACCAAGCAAAAACTTACTTTATGGCTGCATAATAAAATGTTCCAAACCAAACACCAGAAGTTATTAGATGTACTGGAATCAAAACTTTTCCATATTGTCTAAATGTTTTCTTAAATCGCTGATAAAGACTAATAGATTTGTCTTGTAAAGGATCAGGCTCTTCCTTTCTTTCCGAAGGAGTTCCTGGGGATGTGGCATTGGATGATATAACCCTCTTGGATAAAATATCTTGCTCCCACTGTTGATGGTGAAGGACCCCCAGTTGGGGTGGATGAGCAGTAAATGGCTTCTTTTCCTTTGCAACACATTGGACAGCTGATAAGTGCAGCCATTGTTTTTGAGGGCCCTGTACCAAAACTACTCTGGATTCAGCTTTATACAAAAGTAATTGTCCCTTTATGTTTTGACAGTGTGGTTCCATGCATGTCCTATGTGCCAGTCGGAATATAGACCTTGATACATTCCATTGCATTTTGAAGAATGGTGATTAGTGGATTTCAGCTTCTACAGAGACCAGATAAAAAAAATTAAGACTATACATAGATTTCCATTTTAAACCAATCCACTTAAAAATAAATTAACTATTAGGAAATAAAGGACAGACACTGCTACCAAATCCACAGAAATTAATGTTAAGGTATGTAGTTCTAACATATCACAATTTTAAAACATTACTAAAATACATCATTTAAATAGGATATAGTAAACTAGTCCAGCAGACATCACAGAGGATAATGTTTTGAGGTTATCTTATTGCTACAAAAGGGATGTTTGTAGGACTTCTGTTTTTCTACAAAGAAGCTGTGTAGTATAATGGAAAAATCATAAGATCTAGAAACAAAAATCTGGGCCCTCATGTTGTGGGGACATAATTCTATACAACCGCCTTTGACATTTTAAGTCTAAATTCACTAGTAAAATGAGGATTACTTCACAGGGTTGTTATAGAAATTACATGAAATTTCTGATGTAAAAGTGCTTTTGTAAGTGAACAAGCATCATGTAAGTTATTACAACTGTTAAGATCTGATAAATAGTTGATACAAGTACCATTTATTCTATAATCCCTTTGGACTAAATTAATTGCTTTCGCCGATGAGGAGATAGTTTCCAGATGTCTAAAACTTTTTGTCAGAAAGACAGTATAATGTAATTTTAAAAGAATATAGACTTTGGAATATGATAGACACAACTGAGTTAACAGTATTATTATTTTGAGCAAATTACTTAGCTTCTCTAGACATAGGTTCTCCCACTGGTTAAACAGAATTACAATATGCATTACTATACAACAAATTAGTTCCCTTCCCTTAATATCAGGGAGTGTCACCTGACCACTAATCTCCACCTTGACCCCACACCAGCAATCTTACTACTTCTACTACATTGTGAATAACTGATCTTATTTTTTAAACTGTACACTAAATAAGTCAACAGTATTTGAGTTAGCACTCCAATAAATACAGATACTCCATTTCACATGAATATCTGTTATCTGGGGTACAAAGCTGTCTATCATTATATAAAAATATCCACTAATGAATTGTCCCCATATAATCTCCTGACTCATCCCTAATTAAAAATTAACATCAGCTTCTATTAGGCTCTCACTGATAATCCAACAACATAATGTAAATAAATTATGAAATGAAACTGCATATCTGAAAATAGGCTCCCAGGAAACCTTTAAAGGGGATACTGAAGATAACTGCAATGAAAAGCAAAGTCAATGACAAGTAACAATCTGAAGAATCAGACCAGTTAACAACAAAAAACTACAGGGATGATAATAGGTGCTTCAAATAATGACTTAAATATTAAGTGACTAAGAAAGACCACAGAGAAAAATGATTAAGTCCTTAATTACTTTTATGAAATTGACTTATTATTTGTTGTGAAAGTCAAGCATTAAGGATGTCTTATTGTGCTTTCTTACAGTCTATGTCCTAAGTTGTTTTGTTTTCTATAAATCTATGCTATGCCTATTCCAAAGGTGAAAAGCATCAACTGATCATTTAGTCTAAGAATTAGCTCAGGTGGAATTATAACCTAAAATTTGTCAAATATATGTATGGCTTCATTTTTCACACACAAAAAAATTCCTTTTGAATATTTTACTATGTTTTTTTGGTCTTTATTTTTGTTGGATTTGAGGATTTTCTCCAGCACCATTATCTTTGAATCATTCCTGTCTGTGGCTTTAGTGGTGTTTTCTGAACTCAAAGACTTTGTTTTGCTTTTAAATCTACTTCCTTTACAAGGCTGTTTTCCAGGAGTTCAAGTCCCCAGACTAACTTTCAGATAATCAGATTATTGTGTGTTTGTGAATAAAAGAAAAAAAAGATTAAAATTTTTTTTTATAGTTTTATTTTTTAAGTTTTATTTTATTTTATTTGAGAGAGACAGAGACAGAGTGGAGGAAGGGCAGAGAATCTCAAGCAGGCTCCATGCTGCCAGCACAGAGCCCAGTGCAGGGCTCAAACTCACGAAACCATGAGATCATGACCTGAGCCGAAACCAAGAGCCAGATGCTTAACCGACTGAGCCACCCAGGCATCCCTAAATTTTTTTTAGTGTTTATTTATTTTTGAGAGAGAGAGAGAGAGAGAAGCACGAGTGGGGGAGGAGCAGAGAGAGAGGGAGACACAAAATCCGACAGGCTCCAGGCTCTGGGCTGATGGCATGGGCTGTCAGCACAGAGCCCAACGCAGGACTGGACCTACAAACTGCAAGATCATGACCTGAGACAAACTCAAAGCTTAACCGACTGAGCCACCCAGGAGCCCCAAAGAAAAAAAAGATTTTTAAAAAGCCTCTTTCCAAGCTTCCAGTTTGTACCCTTTTCCCTGGTTTCCCTAACTACTCCCTCCTAAAGAATATTTTTTTCCTATCCCACTTCTTATTGCCCATTAAAAAAAAAACACACACATCTTTATTGAGATACAATTCTCATGCTCATTTAAGGTGTAGAATTCAAGAAATTTTAGTATATTCACAATTGTGAAACCATCCTCACAATCTCAGTTTAGAACATTTTCATCACCCCAAAAAGAAACCCCATACCCACGAACAGTCACTCACCATTTCCTCCCCACCCCAGCCCCTGCAACTATTAATCTATTTTCTGTCTCTCTATATTTGTGTATTCTGGAAATTTCATATAAATGGAATTATATTATGTGGTCTCTTGTGACTGGCTTCTTTCACTTAGCATCACATTTTTAAGAGTCACCCCTGTAATGTTCCCTTAGAAGCCAACCTTTGGGCTAGTGGTTTCTAAAACTGGCTACATATTAGAATCATGGCAGGGTGGGGATACTGAAGGAAAGGAGAGGTAATCTGAAAAACCAGATTCCTGGTCTCCATCTAGACCTAACAAATCAGAATCTCCTACTGCCAGTTCACACCTGACAGTATGAATTTGGGGATCATTTCTCTAGGCCCAGCAAATGGCTTCAGTGACAAGAGGCAACATGGTGGCAAAGGTATCATCCATTATTGTTGCCGTCATCATCATCATCATCATCAAGGTATTTTTGAGCCCCTAATATGTGGTAGGAGTTTTGTAAACACTTTACATGTATTAACTCAGATTATCCTCATAACAATCCTATGAAGGAGGGACTATTGTCATCTTTTCATATTTGAGGACACTAAAGCACAGAGGAAATATCATTCAACTGGTGAGTGGAGGAGCTGGGATTCAAACTTAGTCACTAAGCTATATGGCCACTTCCAGAAGAAACAGTGCCAATTTTCAGTAAACTAAGACATGTAAGACACATGATAAAAGTGCCCTAAGGAAATACAGGGCCCAAGAAATTAACCTTTTTTAAAAAGTTTATTTATTTTTGAGAGAGAGCAGGGGAGGGGCAGAGAGACAAGGGAAGAGGGAGAGAATCCCAAGTAGGGTCCGCACTGTCAGTGCAGAGCCCAAAGTGGGGCTCAAAACCACAAACTGCAAGACGATCTGAACCTAAATCAAGAGTCAGACACCTAACTGACTGAGCCACCCAGGTGCCCCCCAAGAAGTTAACTTTTACCTTAAAATTAACTTTTAAATTAAAAACAAAAATTAAAATTAATTTAAATTAAATGGCAACATATGGGTAATAGCTACCATATTTGACAGTACAGCTCTAGACTTCCAAAGTGATCACAATACTGACGACATACACAGTAAGACTCATTAGATTTCAAGGAACAAACCTACTTCAGATGAATGCAAGTAAAAGTAGAGGGCAAGTACAGACTGAGTAGTATCATACATATCCTGGAATGAACAGGCTTCAGGAACAATAAAACCAAAGCAAGGTAGGAGTTATCTTGTCTCACAGCAAGCACCTGTGTATAATGGCCTCAGCCCACTGGCAGTTTCCATTTCTGGATTTTATTAGTCTGTTCATCTTTTCAATTAAAGATAAAAGTTTTCGGTTATCGGTCAATGATGGAAGTGCTACTCCTCATAAACACTACTCAGATCAAATCAGTTATATCTGGACAAGTGGATGAGTGGCCTGAAGAAGCTGTGAACTAACAGGACTCTATTTCAGATATAAATGCAGAACCTGGAGTGATGAACAACTTAAATTTGAATTTCTTCCAATGAAATACAGTAATTTCAGTAATACATTTTTTAAATCATGAGACTTAGCATATAACAAAAGCTGCCTGTTATTTCCTACCCCTAGATATGAAATTCTCACATCTATAGATGAGGAAGTGTTCTAAACTGCTTATGCTTCAGTTATAGAAATAAATGATGAAATGCATTACAGGACCCAAGTGACACGATTACACTGCTTGTTATGACTATCCTTTTCCACCTTAGAATTATGTCATTAAGCTGTTAACACTACAAGTGAATGGCATATGATTACTGGTGCCTAATTCTCAGTATACAATCCTACTCTGTATGGTAGCGATACTGATTTTGTCATGACTTAATTTTTGTGAGCAGGCAGTAGAGTTTAACAACTGAGAGTATCCAAGAGGTCAGACTGCCCAAGTTCACATCCTGAAAACACTCTAACTATAAACTATCTACTAATAAACAAGTTAATTAGCCCCCTTGTGCCCTGGTTTCCAATTTGTAACATGGGGTTAATAATAGCACCTTCTTCATAAGGTTATGAGATGAAAATAAATGTAAAAATGTTCAGAAAATGACTAGCATGTAGCAAGTGCTCATAAAATGTTACAAGTTATTATTATAAGTAAACAAGATAGTCTGTTGCCCTTATTCACAGTGAAAACAGCCTAAGGATCAGTGCCTGAGCTGAACAGGGATTATACAGGATAAACGAAAACAGTTGCCTAGGATGGCTCTGGCACAAAACTTGAAAAACTATATGAAACTGTACTAATCAAACCAATAATATCCAGTCTCTTAGGGATAGGCTCAAGACCAGGCATGAAGCAGCAGTAATATACATGTCTGAAAGTCCGGTCTCTCATGTAGCAATTCTGAGGCAAAGAGAAGATGAAGACATAGTGGTAAAGAG